AGAGAGATTTCAACCAACTCTTTCGGCGATTTTATGCGGCGAGATCAAAGTGTTTTTTTTTTTTGGCCCCAAATTTCGGGGCATGGGGGTGGCCCCGAAACTACTTGAAAAAAGACTTTGGGGCGGATGCGCAGTCGCCGATTTTGCCCCTCCCCAGTCCCTCTGGATACCTGGGCACCTGCCGGAGGTGCCGGGGTGAAAAACCTACGGAGATACCCGCAATCCCGTTGTGCTGAGAAGGTCGGACTGAGAAAGGTGAGGCAACATGAGATATCGAAAAAAAAGAGGATGAGACTCTGCGTTCAGAAGGCGGACCCAACCCGACCTTGGCCTATTCGATGGCCATGGCCTCTTGCCACGCTTCTAGTGCGTACCGTATGCAACGAGTGAGACAGGCCCGTGCTGTGTTCATGTGGGCGACTTCAGTACGTTGCGGTTTCGCAAAATGTGGAGTTGTTGTTGTTGTCGTTGTTGTTGACTTCACATTAAACCGTATGCCAGTTGCTAAATGCCAAAATCTAGCAAAGACTCTCGGCCCGTGGTCACGAAAGTGCTGGAGCCATCTGAGGATCTAAAGAACACGCACACGTAGCAAGAAAAGAGTATTGATCATAAAAGAGTCAGAATAAAAGAGTCATAACCTTTCTTTGCTCGTGACGTTCACGTTTCGTTCGCCTTCCTCTGCTGCAGCTTGGCAGGGGCGAGAGCGGGGAAACAAATATCTGTGTGTCACACAGCTTGCCCTCTGGTCCTGTGGGCAACCACAGTTCGTTCACGCAAGCCCACCTTGTTGGCAACCACTTCCAACGGCAGGCGGGAGTCCCAGAGACCTGTCGACCGCCACAGCCGCGAAGCGCTTGAGGACCGCCGCTGTCCGGGGCGCGGGCATGAAAAGTGAGCCTTTTTTGGGCCGCGGAAAAGGTGTTCGTAAGATTTTGTTTTTGAAGTTCGCCGCATGACCCACAAGCGGGTGGGTGGGCGTGCTTCGGTAGCAGGATGTTTGTTGTTGTTGTTGTTTCTCACATTAGCTCTAAAAAAGAAAGATTGGGAGCCCGTGGTCTCAAAACCCGGCATACACGACCCCACGAAGAAACAGAAAAAAATAGGGTACAAAAACCACTCGGAAGAGAAACAAAATGATAGAAAGAAAGACCAGCTACCGCACCAAACGAGAAAGAGCGTCGAGGAGACCGATCAAAATAAAATAAAAGGAGAACGGGGAACGCTTCCCACACCCGCCTACAACGCCGGAGGGTTCCGTGCCGGGTTCCCGCCGACCAGGCATCCCCCGCCCTGCACCACACCCCAGGGGGTGCAGCAAGACGGGGGGCGAAAAACAAACACATATATATTCCCACAAAAAAAAAAAAAAATCGAAGGACAACGTACACCAGTACCAGGTACTACAGCAGTGCAGTATGCACCAGCGCATTAGTGTAGGGTAGGCACCGCACCAAAGAGGCAGCAGAGGTGGCAGGCAGCCAGCAAAGGAAAAAACAAAAATAACAAGGAGCTCGAGGTATCGTCCAAGATCATCGTAGAGAGGGCATGGAGAACAAGAAAGAAAGAAAGAAGAAAAGCACAAAGAGAGGCCGGAGGCAATACTAAGAGCATACAGCTTACGGCAGGGAAAAGGGAACACAGGGTGCGACAACATCATCAGTTGGGTACGTCGTTCGCCGCAAGCGCGGCCTTGGCCGCCCTACTCGCTTCTACAGCAGTGTCCGGTCGCCGTTTCGATGTTTCGATTTGATGTTGTTTGTTAGAAGCATTGTTTCTTTTCCCATCTGCTCTTGGTTGCAATCTGCACCTCTCGGTTAACCACTCGGTCAACTCTCTACATGAGTTCGGCGCACCTACGTGTCACACCAGGAGAAAAAGGCAGCACACGCCGTGATCTTGCTATCCCAATCCGTCACAGCAGTTTATTCTTCCGCAATCAAACGTATTTGGGTTCTTGGTCCTTGGTGGTGCGCTGCAGAAGCGGTGTGCACGAGTTGACGCGGCCTTGACGCGGCCGGGGCGGTCTGCTTCGAGGACAACCATGGCAGCCGACGCAAGCTGTTTGGGCTGAGCATCAGAACATTCACGGCGTTTTCTTGAGGAGGACGTAGACTAGCATCATAGGGATCGGCCATTTTTTTGTTCCGCTTGAACCTGCTGAGGCGCCATCGCCTGGTCGTTCGTCTGATGCACGACTGCTGCTGCTGTACATACTCGTTGCTTTGTGAGCTACATGTGACGATTGCTGTCGCTTGTGCGTTGCGAAACAGAGACCCGAGCGTGTGAAAAAAACGATGGTCGAACCCCACCGTAGCTCTCGCCGAAGCAGCAGCACCATGTGAGCGTAAAGAGACTGGTTGCAGAAGCGGTGTATGTGCGGGGACGCGGGCACCATAGTAGCAGCAGCACCTGGCCACCAGCAGCAGGCACCAGTCGCAGCCAGTAGACCCCCAAAAAATTTCAATGAATGTGGCCCATCCTTTGTCGTCTTCACGGCCACTTTCGGCTTCCCCGCCATAATTAATCGCCCATGAGACTCTCATGAGACACTCATGAAGTTCGTTGTTTTTTTCACGAGTGAAGCTCACCACCTCATGATTCAACATTTTTTTCAGTTGAATTATTTCTCGCGAGAGAGAAATATTCCGCGTCAAGAAAAGTCTCGCGAGAACATGTTAATGACCAGCAGTTTTAGAGCACAGGAAACCCTCCCCTCAGGGACGTTGGTGCCTGAAATCTCCGGCGGTGACGCAAGTTGGCCGTAATAACATATAATAAGTGTTTTTTCTCGTGGGTTGGAACTAGTAAGATTTCTCGTTTTCGGTGACTTTGTGCCCCCAAAATATTCACCACAAAATACAACAACATCTCATCATGCAATTATTTGTTGGACAGTTCAGGGGGACACACAACAATTTTCACTGATATCAATTAGGAGTGTAGTCTAGACTTGAATGAGACTCGAAATAAGTCCAGTACCCAGCCGGTTTTCCTCCACTCACTGCAAAGGCTCCACCACATCCCGCTCGACTGTGGATATATCTCGAATGGTTAGTCTAGTCCTTCTTTGTGTGTGTGTAGTTGTATGCATACACTTGGTATATTTTTTCTCAATTTTACCAGCGGGATGATTGATTACGGTTCATCCAAAAGAGCCAGCTTCCAGTTTGCGTCCGCGATTAAGAAACACGTTTTTCAGAAGAAAACAAACGCTCAAAAGAAGTCGGAACTGCTACACTAGTACATATAAAACGAGGCTTTACGGGCAGTTTGTCGAATAAGAAACACCCCAAACGCTACCTCCTATCTCCCTCTCCCTCTCTCTCTTTCCCCCTCTCCCATCCATGTGCCACCACCCTCCTCGCAGCGAATTAGTTGTACGGCGAGGGGTGGTGTTTTTTTGCGGTGCCCCCTCCCCCACGTCCCCCATCCTGCCGGCTCTGGCGCTGCCTGGCACATGTCGCAACCACGATGTGCTGTCTGCTGTACGGGTTTGATGGTGCTCTCCACCGCCTCTCGTGAGGGCTTTGAAAGTTTAAGTATAAGAACTTCAATTCGTAAGAAATTCAGCAGGATTCTGCAGCACGAAATAATAAGAGCTTGGCATTAGAAACTGGACAACGTACCCTGAGTTTTCAACCCACAACAGGAAGTTGAGGGTTTACCGAAAATTGGCGTTCTTAGACGCGGGCGTTATTAACTGCAGTCTACAAGTTAATGTAGTTGAAGTCGTTTATCTTGCAAATTACAGATGCATTGTTGGGGATTGGCGCCAGCCCCGGCGACAACAGCTTGCCAACGAAAATAACGAAATAGACCCAGTTACAAGCGACTTTTTCTCTCTTGCGCTTACAGATGGCTCAGAGTTACAGATGGCTCAGAGACCCCCTGCACAAGTGTGTACAAAGCGGTTAGTTGGTGGGTGAATCTTGAGTTCCGAGGCGTTGGAGCAGTAGTGTACTGCACGAAGAGTAGACTGAAACTCAACGGAGGACCCGCGGTAGAAAAATGAGCGAGGCTTCCTCCTACGGCAGGACTCTGACGCTTGCTGTGATCCTGTTAGGCGCCGACGGTTCCATTTGGGCAACGGCTCGCGGCATTAGTGTAGTCCAGTCTACACAAGAAAAAAATAGCCTCATTTTTTCCCCATGCCAGCAAACGCACCACAGTTTGGAGTTTCGGCAGTCCCGGGAATTTCTTCGGCTGAGTGGGGGTGTGCTTTTCCAAATCATGGGGGGCGAGAGGAGACCACCTACCTGGTCGGCCTTCGCCGACTTGCCGAACCCACCGACCTTTGTTTCTGTCCCTCCCCAGTGCTTTCAGCGCCGTCTGTTGACAGGGTGGTTTCTTTCGGGGTGTTGAATCTCCATTCGTCCTCGACTATTCTCGGAAAGAGTGTGCCCTTGCACAATCACAGCTGCGAGAGGGGCCGCGATACAGAAGGATTAGCTCAATCCGTGTCGCCCCGATACCGCACCGCTCACGCACGAATTTCCTTGTGCTTCTCTCTCTATCTCTCGTCCAGCAGCTTTCCGGAAGCCGGGGCCGCTGGCTCCACTTCTCGGCGATGTCCCCGACGTTATTCCAACTGATCCTCCCGTCGACGCCGGGGCAAGCCGAGCGCCAGGACACGAGCAGCGCGGACATCATCTCGAGGCCAAGCGAGGAGTTCGACAGCGAAAGGGCTGTTCCCTCCTGGCCCTCGCGTGGGCATGGGCGTACCTGGGGGTGGCTGTTGCGCCCGCGCTCGCGGCGCCGTGCCTCCAGGCAGCAACCGGCCAGCTGGCCGTCAGCCCAACCAGCGGCGTGGACCTCGAGACGGTCTTCGACTGCGAAGACGGCGAGTTCGAGGTGGTCTGGTCCGGGGAGGTGAGTGTACCGGGCACCATCTATATCGGCAGCGGGACGACGGTCAACATCTACGGCGAAGATACCACCACCACCACCACCACCACCACAAGCGGCATAGGTAGCACGGGCTTCAGCAGCTTCAGCGGTGACGATGAGCTATGGAGTGGGTTGTCCCTCCCACGCGATGATCTCTCGTCGGCTGTGGTGGCCGGCAGCGGCCTGTCGGACGGACCCATATTCTTCGTCAACGGTGGACAGCTCTCCCTCAACGCCTTGGCCGTGCGCGATGGCAACGCGACCGGTGACAGCAACGCGACCGTTGACAGCGGAGGTGGCGTCCACGCGGTACAGTCGAATGTGACGATCACGGGCTGCTTGTTCGAGAACAACTTCGCCCGGGTGCTGGGAGGCGGAGTGCTGGCCAACCTGTCGATGCTGACCGTCGTCAATTCGACTTTCAGGGGAAACGCTGCGGGGCTTATATCATTCGCCGGGCAGGACGAAGATGAGGTTGAGGGGGCTGGTGGCGGCATCGCGGTGAGCGCCTTCCCGGTGGTAGTAGTTTCAAAGTCGTCTTTGCACCTCCTGTTCGGCGCCCGTGTTTAGAGGGGGGAACCCGTTCCATGCCTACGGAGGGGGTGTTGATGGATGAAGGCCGGTGTCGTTCTGGCTGCTCTCGGCGTCGTTTTCACGACCTCCTGCCCCAACCACTTTCCACGACTCTAACGCATTTTCATCTCTTATTCGACGCCCATGTTTTATCCTTAGTACAGGGAATTCGATCCTCCGCACAGGTTCGGAAGTTGCGACCCCCGCCTTTTCACGCTCGCCACCACAGCAGCGGCCACCACCTGTTTGCGTGGTGTGCTTCCACGGGACGGTGTTTCCTACCTTTTGGTTTGGGAGTTGATGTATGCGTGTCTATTGGTGGTGCAGCTTCCGACCCATGCAATACCTACGACGGGAGTTGTTTTTTTTGTTCTCCCATCATTGGACTCTGTCGTCTGCCCCTCTGGCCCCTATCCTCCACTTCTACCAGCTAGACGACCCAACCGGGGTCACATAGGAGGGGGGGGTTGGACCCCCTCCTGCAGTTCCTGCCTGAGATATTTTTATCGCGAAAAGGGTAGAGCAATCCCTTCCCTCGCGACTTATGAAGTCGATCAAGTTTACTAACAACGAGCTTTGCAGCGCGTCGCTTCCAACGGAGACCAGGATTTAAATTAGCGAGAAAAAATTCACTCTGTCGGGACTCGACTCCATGACCTGGCCCTTAGCAGGCTGCGAGGCTACCCACTAGACCACCGGGGCGACCGGTGTGTGAATGGCTGAAGGCCGGTGTCAATATGTCTGCTCTGGGCGTCGTTCATTCCCTACCTCCTGCCAAACCTCCTCCCGCGACTGCTGTCGTCTTCCCGGCGTTGTTCCTCAGGCCAAAGACTCTACTGTACTGGTCGAAGGCTGCTTGTTCGACACGTGCTATGCCTCCAAGAAAGGGGGTGGCCTTCTACATGAGTCGGGGCAGCTGTCGGTGGTGGGCTCCTTGTTCTACAACAACTCCGCCGGGAGCGACAATCAAGAATCAAGTGAGAGACCGAAACCGACGCAAGCCTTACCGCGGGTTGACGAAGGACACCCGCACGGTGGTGCTGTTTCGCAATCATGGGGCCGATGCAGCCAAAGCATCCCGTCACGGCCGCGTACCATCGCGCCCTTGGTTCGGGGGACCTTTCTTCGATTTATTGTCGCAACCAGGTGGACTGAGAAAGCCGAAAAAGTCTTGCAATCCTTATCCGCCATAATGCAGATATCGAGGGATTACTTCAGTGGCCAGTCACCACCTCGATCTCCCTGTAACCCCCCAACTCTGTTTCCCTCGCTTTGTCCAGAGGATGAGATAGGAGAGGGTGGGGCGGTGGCGTTGACCGCTTGCACGCACTCCTCCGATACGCCGGCAGCGACAGTGGCGCCCTGCGAGTTCCGAGACACGGTCTTCTTCAACAATTCCGTGGCGGAAAAGGGCGGTGCGCTGGCGATCGCGGCCGGGGAGGATGACAATCGCCCAACGGTGGAGCTTCACGGGTGTGTGGTTAGGAACAACACGGCCGGGAAGGCGCTGTCGGACGACCCTCAGGGTGAAGGGGGCGCGATTGTGGTGGGCGCGGGATGCGCGCTCCTCCTGTCGGACTGTCTCCTCGAGAAGAACTGGGCCGGAAAGAAGGTAGACGAGTGGGGAGTTTTTTTTTGTTGTGGTGAGTTTGCTGTTATTTGGCGTCAGCCTGAACACATGGTACCAAGTGTCGGCGGAGGTGGGCTCCGCTCCTCTCGTGTGAAACCGCATTCTATCATTTATTTTCGCATTTATTTCGTCATTGCGGTATTGCGATTGGGTAAAGCCACAGAAAGCTTGCCTGGACGTTTTTCGATGCCGCTCAGTGTCTAGTATCGACGTTGACTGTAGCACCGTGGTGCATCGAGATAGGTTGTCTGCTTCTACAGCAGTCGAGAGGTATGGGCCCGGCTTTCGGTTTGGTCCTTGGAAGACTATGCTCAACACTCAAACAATACGATGTACTACTGTAGCTGTAAGCATCGCGCTTCTGCTGTGGTCGGCATTCAGCATACATGCACCTCACGCAAGTTTCCCTTGTGTTGCTCGTCTAGTGGTCTTTCGGTGTCGGCACGGCTGCTGCCGCCTGGTTTCTGGGAAGCGTTTGTACAGCGACTTCTGGCCATGGTGGAGAGAACACGAAGCAGCCGAGAGGGTCCTCTCGGGGTCGCACCGGGACACGCTAGCGTGCCCACACACGGTTCGATTGTGCTGCTGGCTCGTGAGGTTGTTTCCACTTCCGTGATGGTTGCGCTCGACGAAGCCAGAAGACGGCACAGTCTGTGCGGAGCTGAAAGCACCATGGCTGCGGGGTAGACGCCTTCTTGCGTGATGCGCGCCTGTTTCTGTCACTTCTCACCGCGTTGAAGCTGGATCGTGTCCTCCTTAGAGCCCCCGAGAAACTCAGAGATCCTATCACATGGTGGTTTTACTCTGATATGAACTCTTCCGCTCCTGTTGAGCATGAGTATTGGCTAAATGTTCTCGCAGACCAGCTTTGGAGTGTGTGGACTACGCTACTACCTTCTCCCCCCGCACCTGGTTGCCGGCCAAACCCTTTTACCGCTGCTGATATCTCCGGTCGTGAAACAGGGCGGGGTGGTCAACCTGTCGGGAGGGACAGACTGGGACGACGACCTCGGTGCCGTTCTCGTCGTGCAAGACTCAAGGTTCGTGTCCAACACGGCCCTGCTCAACAACGCCGGCGGGGTGACCATGAACAAGTTCACCAACACCACCATCGTCGGGCAGGGGAACGTGTTCTACGGAAACAGGTGCGCCCAGGGCGGCGCCGCGATCGGGGCGGACTACAATTCCACCATAACGGTCGAGGGGGGAACCTTCATCGGCAACGAGGCGGACATGGAGGTACGCAGGAAGGTCCGCGCGTCAAGATTTTGTGAAAGATAGTTTAAAGGCTGATAGCTGTGATTCGCTGCCTCAAATCCGGGGTATTAATCGAGTGAAAAACGGTTGCGTCGTGAACTCGGACGCAGAAAAACAGATGGACACACGTCAATGAATGAACAGTCTCGTAGGATATCATTTTTGATCTTGATCTTGATATGATCTTGTTTCGACTTGCCTACGCTAGTCTGTCCCCGACGCCCCCCCCGTGTTGCTTTTTTCGCGTTTTACGCTCGGCAAAGGTCCGATGCGGGCCTGACACCTTCGGATCTGAGGGTTCTCTTTGATTGGCCTTGTTGTAACATCGGGGGACAACAAGGCATCTCACCTGCTGTACTTCAAAGCTCAACCGTTGTACTGCTCGCGCCACGTCGAATATTCCACTCAAGAGCCCCCACCCCCAAAAAAAAATCGCACCAGACTGAAGAGGAAGTCTGGCAGAAAGGCGAGCAGAGCGGGGGAGTGCTTTGGACGAGGGGTAACATCTCCGTCCTAGGTGGGCACTTTTCCAACAACTCGGCTAAGAATGGTGGAGTGATTCAAGGCAGCCTCAAAAGCAGCGTGGTGGTCGAAGGAGGCACGTTCGAGAACAATGTGGCCGAGAACGGCGCCGTTGTTTACGTCGTCGCAGACGGTTCTTTGGCGTTCAACGGGGGTCTGTTGCAAGGAAACATGGCAAGCAACGGAGGGGGCGCGTTCTTCGCCGAGAGCGGTGCAGACATCGAGGTGCGAGCGTGTAGGGTCGCTGGGGCAGGAGGAACATGAGCCTGATGCCACTGCTGTGGTGGTTTGCCTTGGCGTCGAACTCGCTGACTTCTTTCCTGTTGTTGCTTTGGCCATGCAACCAAACATATGGCCACAAAATACACCAACTCCAGGTAGGCCTCCTATTAGGCTTTTCCTCCGGCGGAAAGTCCATGTAACCTCTCCTCCTCGGATACACCGTCTGACGGGTGTATGGTGTCAAAACAATCGGCTTCCGCCAGATAACCGGGGGAACCTTCATCTCAAACAAGGCCGATTTCGGGGGGTTTCTGTACAAAGCGGGCGAGGGCAATGCCGCTTGCTCGGGAGCGACAGTTCTGCAGCACGAGGGCGTCGATGGCGGCGCGATCTACGCCGTCGATGGCGCGAATCTAGAGTGGGAGTGCCACCTGAGGGAGAACTCTGCCCTGATCGGACCCGCCATGTGAGGACAAGGAAAGGCGTGAGTCGTCTTGCTTTCAAGAGAAACACGCTCGGGGAAACGCCCCGTAGCTTCCTCGCACATCACTTGTTTTGATTGCTTTATCCCCTTGCTATCTAGTTGAGATAGAGGTTGGATAGGCGCTTCGCTTCGCACCTCCCAATCCGTGGATGCTTGAGCAGCAAGATATTGCGTGCGATGCGAGGTGTGATACTCTGCTACATCAGCAGTTGTGTGTGCCGGATGCCGCTTTACGTCCTTGTTCTCTGTCTCTCGTTCTCTTCCTTTGCTGTTGCTTTGACTTTGGCAGCTATGCCCGCGACTACGCGGTGGTGGCTCTTAGCGGCGTCGAGGTGGCAGACAACTTCGTTACTCGCGGCAGCGCCATTTTCGTTGTCAACAGCGCGCTCATCACGTCTCAGGTGAGCGCATTATCGATGTTCGCGTGGACCAACCGGAGTAGCAAGAGACAAAACGAACGCCTGTCTGTGTATCTATGTGCTGCGTCGTCCGAAAGATCAATAATATCCCTCCCTCCATACGAGTGTGTGGTGCTTCGCTGAGGAATTCCGTCTCCACACGCGAATTGAGCAGGTGGTCGTTAGCGACACGTCGGAGAACCCCGACTTATCGGCTGTGCAGACCGACAGACTGTCTACGTACATAGCTGAAGACACCTCCTTCGTGGGCTTTGCTGGCGAGGTACGTACGCGATAGAGGGCTCTCCGTCCATGGTTCAGTTCCATGAGTTATTCGGACGCGCCATGTCAGAGATGTGCTAAAACAGGGGGCATGCAGCTCTTTGTACCCCGATTTCGTGAACCCGTACGAATGGTGATCGTCACGAAGGTCAACAGGTCACGAGAGTGAGGGACTGCTATTCCGCCATGATTGAGGAGATCCTTGCCCAGGCCACTCGGAATCCTGGATGCGCAACCATTTTCGCAGTACCTCGTTGATTGTGCAGCAGCAGGACGTTTGTACGCTTTTTGCTTTGCCTTATTTTGTGGCTTTCGTCTGGCCCCCTAGGTGGTCGTTTACGGTGAAGGGGAGCTGTACCTTGACGAGTGCGACTTCAGCGGCAGCTCGAGTGCGGTGCTGGTCTATGCGGAACTGGAAGACGCTACGGTGATCCGGAACGCTGTGCTAGGAGTAAAAACTTGTGAGCCTGAAAGGTCCCATTTTTTTGCCACATCGTTTTTGCTTGCTTTGCGTGTTCATATGTTCAACGCGGAAAGGACATTTGGCACGTAGGATAGTCTATTCGCCGTTGAGCTCCGCTTGTCGCGTATGTTTTCCCTTCCAGCTCATGCATACGTTTGTATCGTATTCCGCACATGTCGAAGATATCGAAGACATGGCGCCGTATGGAATGCCGGTTTGCTCCATCTCCGCTGTTTTCTCCCCCCCCTGGAAACTCCTCCCTTTGATACGTGTCCACCGCGAAAGTTGAGGGTGCTCTTGGTGCCCGGGAGGTATTGTTTGAGATTTGAGATTAAGGTCAGACCACGACTCCTCTCCTCGTAGTCTCTTACGAGGGTCCACGTGGCCCTTTCTGCTGCCGCCGTCCGTTTTTATCCTGTGCGGGCTTTTACCTGTCGCGATCGCATATGTGGCAGACGAAAACATCGCCGACGACGCGTCAGACATGTTGCAGCTGCCGAGCGCCGACAGGTTCATCAACCTCAACCTGACGTGCGACTCGTCGGCGGTGTCACCTTGCGGCGAAGGCTCGTGGTGCCTCGAGGGTGACCTCGGCGTCTACTGCGAGCGCTACCAGCTCAGATCCACCTTGGAAGAGGTACGAGCGCAGCACGCCCTTCAAGGCGTGCTTTCTACCTCGTTGTGCAATGTTCCAGTGGTGCCACGATGCTGATGACCCTCCGCGTTTACCGATATGTTGTGCGAGACAAGGCCTGCCTTGGTTCCAGGAGTTCAACGTACTAGCGTTTGCATGTGGGCTACTAAACACGCCACTATTGAGCAACAAGCCTTCAGAAATTCTCCCCAGACCTCGGTGCTTATTCGATCAGTAGGGAAATCGACGGGAAATATGCTCTTAGCATGTACCATGTCGTGAAATCGAAGGCTAGTTATTATCAAGTTCGTTAGCGAGGGCCTTCTCTACCGTCTAATGTGCCTGTTTAGGCCGCCACCCCTCGCGGTACAGTTGGCACGTTTCTGGTCGTTCGCGTCGAAAGAAGAGTCCACACCCTATTGCTGCGCGCATCGGTTAAGTGGGTCGGAAACGCTCGCAATGCCCTTATTCTGGAGGTCCGGAAGCCACAAGGTATCCATTTTTAATACAGTGGTACCCACTCCACAGGGCTTGGTTGCGATGGAATAGGCGAGTGCTGGTTGGCCAGCCTCTCTTTATTTTCTCACGACGTTGACAATTACTTCGTCATCGTTGTCAGTGGCCCAAGAGTGCTTCTACCTCTGACGGATTGTGTCCCAACCTACATGTACAGAGTCACCGGCACCACGCTCGAAGCACACTGAGTGGATGTTATTGCTGCCTTCCTGCACAACTCGATCGTACTTCATGTCTCGCATCTCACTGCAACTTCCGCCTCTGTTGCGTTTTGCGCATATCGTTGCTCCCACACCCCTTCCGCCACGGCAAAAAAAACGGAAGGTGTGCGCCAGCGGAGACGTGGACGCGCTGACCCTGACTCTGATCGAAGACACCGAATCCCAACGAACCTTCTACCCGAGCTTGATCGAAAGAGAGCTGCAACTGTCGCTGGCGGCTTCCAACGCAACCGACGCAGGCGACGACGACATCGCCACCAGCAGCAGGAGCTGTGCCGGCGCTAACCGGGTGGCGTGGAGCGTGTCGGGGCTGTGGCCGCCCTCAGAGGAGGAGCAGGACGACTGGACGGTTTTCCCATCGACAGGCTTGCTGCTCCCAGGGGAGAGGTGAGGGTATGACCCTACCGATGGACGAAACGGTCCCGAGCGTGTACCTCTGGTGCGTGAGCACAGGTAAGTGGAGTGAACAGGGTAACCACGGGTTTTCCCCGTCGAGGTGATGGGATGGGTGTCAGATACAGGGTTTGTCCGTACGGTTGTTGTTTGTTTCGAGACATCGATTGAACCAGCAGGGAAGACACCAGGGATTGTGCAATCTAAACGGTTGGAGGTTATGCATGCATCTGATGGCCGTGCTTCCGTCTTTCGTGGTTCTATTCTTGTGCAGCGTTCGCTTGCAGCTCGTGAGTCAGCCAAACGACGCATTCAATGGCTTCGCCAACATCACCGTCCGAGCGAACGACATCACTGCCCTATCCACAACGGCGTCCATCCTGGCGAGCGACGCGGAGCCTCAGAGTGAAGGCGGTGACGTCACGGTCAGCGTGGAGCACTACTTGTGCGATGAGGGTAGCTTCTGGAACTCGAGCGTCTCGGGGGCAGATCTCGACCCCACCGTGGCGTGTAAGCTCTGCACCGAGTCCATCGATGGCGCTGTTGAGGTGCGGGGTTCGTGCATGCCGTTTATCTTCAGATGACCTGGCGCTACTTGGGATTGTTCGGCGTGTTCTGCTTTTTTCTTCTCGTTGAGATGGAACACACAGCAGTCAAATTGAAATTGAAAGCGAATCACCTACGTACGCGTGACTCTTTTTCTAGCGCCGTCTTCAATATTTGCCGTAGGTTCTTACAGCTCTCAGTTTTGACTGAATGGGTCCCATGTCCACTTCTGTAGCCACACCTTCAACCCGAAATGGTTGCCTCCGCCAGGAAGAGCTGACATTGTATCCCGTTCCTATTACTCGGTCTATCTTCGGGCGGTCACAGGTTGGCTAGTATATCCTATTCCACCGTACGAGAGCCAATCCCTTGCCAACACCAACCCCACGCATCAAGTTTCATCCAGTTTCGGTGCTCCACCTGCCAAGCGTATGGAACAGCGGTGTTTCGCAACGAAACCACGCACCACTCTTTTGCGCTGGACAACCACGCTCCTTCGTTCCTCCCCCCCGGTTTCCTTTTGTTTGTTTGGGATGGAAGTCCGTTCCCGATGTACACGTGAATTCCTTTCAGTGTGCTGCTCCCCTGCCACGGCTACCACCCCTACTTCACGCAACCCCGACTATATTGCCGACGTTGCGCCTCCGCGGCCATCGTCTCCTTTCAACATTCGACACTTTTTTCTCCTCCAAATGGTGAGGAAGAGCCGCAACAATGCCACAAGCGAGGTTTGCGGTTACCTTACTCCCGCCCTCCACCCTCCCCACACGTTTACCTTCGTCCTGTTGACACGTCATCATCGCAAAGGGGGTGGACTGCACATCCGCCGGCGCTACAACGAAGGAGCTTCCGATCAAGGCAGGCTACTGGCGGGCTAAAGTCACTTCCCTCACGATACGCGAGTGCCTGAACGAGGTGGGTACGGTGGCCGGTGGCGGAAAAATATTGGCCGATTAGCTTTTAAAATATGCGTCGTCTGGAATTGACGCTTCTCAGGGTGACCAGAGCGCGCTGTGAAAGGGCCGTTGCCATCGAATGATCCCAGGTTGAGGCGAAACGAATAGTCCTTCAGCATCCATGGTGATCCTCGATTCGGCTTCGTGGCCGTTGTGTCGCTTTTTTGCATTACGGTGTTCACTCCCCCTCCCTCCCGCTCAACCTTTCCCAAGAGGTCTTCCTGCGGTGGAAACACGCATCGCATTGATATTGCTCCCATTTTCTCATCACCGCGTGCCCTTGCCCCCCCCCTCACAACTCCTGCCTCTGCTCTCCGATGCCTCCGATTCCCCTGCAGGAGGCTTGCAAGGGAGGGACGACCGTCGCAGAAGTGCAGGAATACTGCAACGAGGGCTACGTAGGACCTCGTGAGTGGATAGATGGATGGCGTAACATCACCAGCCAGTCGGGCGTGTATGTTTCCCCCGCTGTGTTACCCTTGCGGGTTACTTTCTCACCGCAGCACCAGCCAACCGATGCAAATGTCTGTGGCGTGACTTGTCGTTCGAGCTCCGTGGTCTGACAACGTGCTGAATGAACACAAGCTCGTTCCGAAAGATTATGTCATTGAATATCAATAGTGTTTCGCCGTCCGGGAATAAGTCCTAAGCAGCCTACAGTGGCGTTTGAGTTGTTGGGTTTCGTCCTTCTCCCATGTCGTGTGGCACACGTGGTGACTTCGTGTACATTTCCTTCCCGAGAGCCTCCGCGCATTGTGTACATCCGTGCTCTCTGTCGGCATCCCTCTTCCTCCTGCAGAGTGCGCTGTGTGCGGCACAGGCTTCGGAAAGGGAGTGGCGTACGAATGTCACCCGTGCACGGCAGGCTTCCAGGGAGGCATGTATTTCCTGCTAGCCGTGGTGCTGCTGGCTATGGTCGTGGTGGTCGTGCTTCTGACGATATACCTGGTAGGTGTTGGTGAATCAACCGTGTGCAGACACCGCTACATGGGAATTCCTCGCGAACATCCTGTCTGGCCAATCGGAACGTAAAGAGCTGGAGTTAGAGGTTGGGCGCAGCTGGACGGAGGGAGAAAAACTTCGAGAGAGGTCGTCTCAAAACCCCTCGAAAATTAGGATGAGCCCAGGGCCAGCAACTCCTCTCTGCCCCACTTATTGTCACGACCCCAAACCCGCGCCCCAGGTGGGAGGAAAGAGCGCCGTGTCTTCCACCGTGGTGAGCACCAAGGAGTCCGCCCTCAGGATCCAGCATCGCGGATCCGTCCTCCTCACCCGCAAGGTTAGCAGCTTTGGCAGGGCTCGGTCAGACTTCGGCGACCTGACCGAGGGCCCATCGGTCGAGAGCTCCGCCGTTTCAACTAAAGCGTGGGGCACAGAGGGTAAGGCCGCTCCGACGGACGTCTCGGTTGGCGGAAGTCGCGGCCAGGGCACCGGCGGGACTGGAAACGACAGGGACGACGACGCGCCCCCGACGAGAGTTGCGAACCTGTTGGCCGCGCTCCCGCTGTCCAAGCTGAAGATCGTCATAGGTGAGGAGAGGTGGATCGTCGTAAGTGAGGCGAGGTAGATTGTCGTAGGCGAGGAGAGGTGGGTGGTCATAAGTGAGGCGAGGTAGATTGTCATAGGTAAGGAGAAGTAGGAGTGAGAGGCAAGGAGCAAGCCCTTGCTGGAACGGCATGTTTGATGATAAGCGGGCTTTGCTCGTGCCGCCCATCATGAGTAAGGCGGATATTGCGCTGCAGAGACGAGACGCGGACACTGAGGATGGACGTACAGTACCCTGTGGGCCGTAGGGAGCATCAGGCGGATACCAGGCCGCACTCATCGCGAAGGTCTTTTGAAGGTCGCCCGTGACCCGCACAGCACGCAATGCAGATGTCTTGGCACGTGAACTTGTGCTGCGTCTATTTGGAAGGAGTCCTCGCGGCGTTAGAAGACACTTCCGGCATCACGCCCTCTCTGAACATGCCTCCGTTTCTTTGCTCTTTCGTTGTATCTTCTGTCTGGATCTCTATGCCTGGCTTGCCTGCTCGAGGACAGTGGTGTGGCAAATAACCAGCGCGGTGAGCAACCTGATGGGGTGTTGTATTGACGGCTTACAGGCATACAATCTGTGCACAGAAATGTCGGTGTTTGCATGATAAAGTACCATTCTTATTCATCGACGAGGACAATTTTGTGCTGTAGGTTCTCGTTGCTGCCATGGTTGACGGCCGATCAGTTGTTGTCGTGCTGCCCACCCTCCAAGTGTCGGTCAACGTTAAGGAGGCAGGGTAGCGCCGGCCACATTGTCACATTGTCCATTCCAACCTTCGTCCTTGACTTGTTACTAAATATAGTCTCCTTGCTTGTTACACGCCGTTTCCGTTCACGAAATGAACTGGCAGTTCGCAGACATCACCAAGGCGCCGTTCCCACCGATATACGAAAAGTTTCTGTCGATCATCGGGATATTTTCCTTCGACCTGGGCTGGATTCTGTCGGCGGCGTGTCTGACCACGGGCATTGACTTCTACGACAAGCTTCTGTGAGTTTGTATGCACGTGCGTCGAAACGATCCAAGCCTGCGTCGTGGTTGACGAAGCAAATGTTTTGTTTTTTTAGCGCCTTGAGGGGAAGATACTCAAAGAGGGATTTTTTTTTTTTTTTCTCTCATCATTGGACTCTGTCGTCTGCCCCTCTGGCCCCTATCCTCCACTTCTACTAGCTAGACGACCCAACCGGGGTCACATAGGAGGGGGGGGTTGGACCCCCTCCTGCGGTACATGCCTGAGGTATTTTTATCGCGAGAAGGGTACAGCAATCCCTTCCCTCGCGACTTACGAAGTCGATTATGGTTAACTAACAAACGAGCTTTGCAGCGCGTCGCTTTCATGCTAGACCAGGATTTATTTAGTGAGAAAAAAACTCTCTCTGCCGGGACTCGAACTCATGACCTGGCCCTTAGCAGGCTGCGAGGCTACCCACTAGACCACCGGGGCGACCGGGATGTGTGTGTATGTCGCTTTCGAGACGCGAAAGGTTTGAGTTTTTGGACCGGGTGACATGTCTGTCGATGGCCTTTGAGCAAGCCTCGGTATGAGTCTGCAAGCTGTTGAGGTGGGGATTGCAGTTCACTCGCCGTGACCCAACAACAAGCACGGAATGGCGTGGGTAAACGTGTCGTGGGTCGATTCTCGTGTTGTGTCGCGCTTCCCATGGTAATGTGTTGACCCCCACGTTTCTCTTCTCCTCGGAGCCCCTGATTGATATATTTTGCCTTGAATGTCCGGACGTTTTCCCGTAATATTGTCTGTGGTACCTTTTCGCTTCAGAGAGGTCGGATATTGTAGCCGGGGACCACTTTGGTGGTTTTGGGTGTTGGCGAGAAGAAGGGCCGTCACGATTTGTCGAGCCTGTGCGATCGGTCCCACTGTGTGTACGCACCACAGCAAGTGTTTGGTGTTAAAGCTGTTGCTCGTTTATTCCGGCCGGTCCGTTTGTTTCGTGGTTGAGGAATAGGATCGTGACGATCGGCCCGCTGGTGCCCCTCTGCTTCCTGGGGATTACCTTCTTCGTGGGTTCGAGGCCGGCGAAGGAAACAAACATGAGTCCTAACGCTACCACTGCTGATGGTGGTGCTTCGGGAAGCGGGGGGAGGGAGCTGGAGGAGGGCAGGGTGCAAGGTGCCTGTTCGGGCTCGACGACGAGCGTGACGGCGAATAGTGGAGCAGCAGCTCGCGAACCATCGGTTCGGAGCGCCTTGAGGGCCAAGTCGGGGGACCGGAAGAACCCCGAGCAGGTTGGGACAACCGTGCTCGTGTGACGTTCGCCAGCAAACCATGCCGAAGTAGCGGTCCCTCTCTTTCTTGCCTTCCTCCGTCTCCCGCTCGCACGCTCGCGGTACCAGGTCCCTTGGAATCACCCATCCCCCCCTCCTTTTCCGCTGTGATCATCTCTCGTTCGTTCTTTGACCATCCACTCTCTTTTCGATGGCCGAACTTCTGTGTTGGCGTCTGTCTTCCTCTCTTGGTGGTTTTAGGAACGTCTTTGGGGGCTGTTCGCCCGCCACACCACGATGATGCTGATCGTGCTCTACCTTGTCTACACCCAGATTTCGACCGTGGTAAGAAGTACAGCCCTTTCCCGACACACGCGCACGTAAAATAGCATTCACGAGTATTCTCCAAGCACAATGTACACCCACCAAGCCTGGTATGCGCACAGGACCGAGGTTTAAAGTGGCCGTATGGCGTCTGTCACTTGGTAGCTAAACTTGTCTGAGGTACAGAGTGTCTTGCGAACCGTCGGCACAAATGGTTGCCTCGCCTTACACATACCTTGCTCGCGGTGCACGTGCTCGCGGTGCACAATCACGCAGTCCCGCTGTTCCTTGCTGAGGTCTGCTGCAAGAGAAATTTACGTGTTTCGTATATGAATAAGCGCCTTCATCATGGATTCTGCTTCGTCTCGCAGGTCTTCCAGACTTTCGCGTGCGAACACTTGCCCGAGATCGGCAAGAGGTACTTGAGGGCAGACTTCGGAATAGAGTGCGACACACAACGTCACACGCTGTACAAGGCCTATGCCGGCGTGATGATGTGTATATGTGAGTATACATGACGTAACAGTCCGCGATACACTTGCGTCCGCGAAGTAGTGTCTCACGATGGTATGGACCGTCAACTCGGATTACGTCGTTGGTGCGCACAACAGACTGCCTGCGGCTTGCTCGAAGAAAGGATGGTCTACTGTAGATCGTAGACTAACGCGTGGAAAGTATTGATTGATCCTTGCACTATGTGTGTGGCTCATGAGTGGGCTTGAAAGCAGGTAGCACCCTAACGTAGTTTGTGTTGCCCCAGACGCCAGCAGCTCTTTAGTGCTGAGATCTTGTTGTGGCTGTTCTCTTGAGTGGTTGGTCCGACCCCTGTTTGCCGTGGTGGCCGAAACGTGTTCATCCCGTCCCCTGACCACGGTCTTCCCGGGACTAGGTCGTCTTTGAATGGCTTGGCTTGTTCGATACAAGGAGGAGCAACGTTATTGTGCGTGTGCGTTGCGTGTGTGCTCAATGACATGTGGTGGAACACCCGCAGATCCCCTCGGCATTCCGGCGGTGTTCTTGTACTTCCTGTTGCGCCAACGTTCTCGCATCAACCCTCCGACCGACGAGGCTCTGAAGAAACGCCGAGGTGGACGTCACGTCGTGGTAAGAAGGGGGGGGGGGGGG